CCCTGATGATGACGCACGCACGCACGGACACCCTTGTTTGGATAGAGTGACATTTTAGATGCACACATCCAAATGTTGATGGCCAGAATTAAATTGACCATGTGACATATATTTTGCAATAAGTTAACTCGGTTTGTTATGACAAAGATGGATTGAAATTTAGGGGGGATAAGGGGTTGTCCCCACTTCTCATAAATTTTCCTGCAGTGCGGTGACGCATCAGTTTCTGGCTTTCCTGGTCCATGCCCATATAGCTGACATAACTGTGTGAAAGGCAGACAAGTGGAGAAGGGCACCGTATAGGGAAACACCTCTGCACAAACAGACTAGAATAGAAAAGGGCTACAACTCTGCACATACTGCCTCATGAAAAATGGGAGGTAACTCTGCACTGGCAGACCACTGGTTCACCATAGTGAGCCAATGAATGCGTTGAATTGTAGCAGTATTCCAGCTATATGGCGGCAGTCAGTAAATAATCAAGTCTGGACCAGAGTGAGTGAGTGAGTGAGTTTAGTTTTACGCCACACTCAGCAATATTCCAGGTATATATGGCGGCGGTATGTAAATAATCGAGTCTGGACCAGACAATCCAGTGATCAACAGCATGAGCATCGATCTGCGCAATTGGGAACCGATGACAACCAAGTCAGCGAGCCTGACCAACCGATCCTGTTAGTCGCCTCTTACGACAAGCATAATCACCTTTTGTGGCAAGTATGGGTTGCTGAAGACCTATTCTACTCCGGATCTTCATGGGTCAAGTCTGGACCAGACAATCCAGTGATCAACAGCATGAGCATCGATCTACGCAACTGGGATAGGATGACATGGGTCAACCAAGTCAGCGAGTCTGACCACCCAATCCCATTAGTCGCCTCTTACGATAAACATGGGTTACTGAAGACCAATTCTAACGTGGATCTTCACGTGTGGTTCACCATAGCCCCCTGGGATTTCACATTGTTCATTTGATGAAATGCACCAGTATACCATCTCACTCCATGAATAGCATCTCAAGAAGTCATATAACTTTTATACATGTAATTACCTAAGTTCCAAAGGTATTAAAAACTGTGATATTAATTTGCATTAATACACTACATGTGTGTGATATGTTGTCTAGACGACTGCAAGATGACATATGTGAGTGTCTCCTCCATCAACACAAGCAGGCATGGGTCAACTTCCCAGTTAGACCATCTCACACATTCCCATACAGCTCAGGGCAGAACCAGCACTTTGTACATAGTCAGATACCATGAATTACAGAAATACTGCCTCAATAGGCTCTTACATACCACCAGCCAAATCTCATGAATCACCATTGATGGTTTTCATTCAGGAAGCTAAGTGCTAGCAAATTTCTCCCAATGACTCTGCTCTGGGAACTATTGTAGCACAATACCATGAGATTAGGTATGACCTTACTTTTTCATCTTTATATTAATCATAGTTATTAACAAAGACTGTTAAGACACGTTAACATGAAATTCTTTTTGAAGTATCAGTAGTATTTCTGGAAGTTTAATAAGACACATGTGACGACAAAAAAAACACTATAACTATTAATATGAACTATCTAGATGACATATGCAAAAATCAATAACTGACTCTTAGCCAGTGTTGAAACAGTCATTATGTACTGTAGCTAATTAGCTTTATCTATGTAAATGACATCAGTAAAATGTTCCACCATATGTTGAATGTCTCCGTCTCTATACATACATTAGGACTGGCTAAAAGACTGATAATAATGAGAAATATTGTTGATGGGAATAATCAGTCATGATTGTCAATATGAAATGTGTCACTAATAATATCTTACAAAAGCTATTGCGATGAAATTAAGTTATTATAACTTGCCTAAACAGACATGTGCCTAAGACGGAATAAAATCTGCCAATCCTGTTTTGCAGACTAAATACACTTCTTGCTTGTAGTTATAAGTAATCCATGTATAAATATGTTACTACACAATTGTGACATGATACATGTTGATTTCTTTTGCGTCTGCTCAGATACTTCTCCGATATTTATCGATAATCAATCTCTTTAGTGAATGGTCATCAATTTCTATGATCTATATTGATAGGCAGCCCTTTTAGACATATTGAGAAAACATGGGAACATGTGTCTCAACCACACTGTACATAACATATAAGGTACAAATGCCTTCTACTTGGGGAAATAGAATCCTAATAATACATGAAAGTAGACAGATGCACCATGGATCTAGAATAACAATGAACCCATAAGCATTAATGGTCTAATGACGGTACTTGTATATGGCATCCTTTAATTCCAATGAAAGGCAGTACAGCTTTGAACCAGAAAGCAGCACATGACTCTAATTAATTAAATTACAAACTCATATTTGCCCTTTCAGTTTTATGACTTCAATTTTCTTGTATGGTCAAAAAAACAACTGCCACATTCAAGCTGATTTTTACAAGAAAATTCCACGCTTCTTCACTGTAACCTTGGCTTCATAAAGAAGTCCCTCATGACCTTTACCGATTAAGGTCCTAGAGTATGACGTGGCGCAAAAAATCAATGACCTACTGTAAAAGATTCTTGTGTTAGTTGATTTCTAAGCTTAAGTCAGGTGTTTGATCACATTCTGACAAAAATTAAGCATCCAAATGTTCATGGGCGCATAACATGAAGAAATGACTGTTTAGTGAAGTCAGTCATGTGTACGTCACAAATTCACTGTCTCCAAACGTGTGAGTTTTATTGTTTGCCAATAAGAGGTATTAATGTCAGACAGTGCTGATATCTGAGGGCATTTGCTGCCAATCGAAATAAAAGTTCAAACTGATTGATCAAAGGCTTTAATATCCCCAGTGATTAAATCATTAAGGCATCAATGTCAGTTTGACCCATTTCCCATGTTCCTTTTATGTCAAGTGCTTAGTGTTTTGGAAGGAACTGCACTGATAACAAGCTGTTATGAGTTTTTTACATTGATCAGTGAATTACTGTAATCAGAGCATGACTGTTGTTGATGAGTGTTTACTGCCTAGCTATAATACCACACCTACTAAAATGCTAGTCTCCAACATCACTGACAAAGGGTAATGAACAGCCTCTTGATGTATAACTGAAATGGACGTGCATTTACTGGGTGCTTCACACGTCAAATTAATGCATCATGTACATTTCAAGAAACTGCTGTATCATTACAAGGTGCTGAAATATGAATCATACGTCCTGTCACTGAACTGATCTCTGATGTTGACTCTAGGTCTCGGACTTGCACTAAATTCCACTAACAATTTGGTTTCTGTTTAATGCCCAGGCCTAACTATGTAATGATTTACATCTGTGACCCGTAGAGTGAGACGACACACATCAAAGCTGGAGGATGAAATCTGCATTACTGGAATGGCGTTTTGTTCTGTAGATGTCATATTTTGAGGAAGTGGAGGGTGTTAAGCTCATCAGTTCAACAGACAGTTGGAGATGAAAGGATGTAAAAAGGGTTGCAATAAAACAATATCGAATTCTGATGAATTATTCTTCTGATCTTGCTAGAGATATTTTAACACAACTGGCTATTTGAATATTGGAGAATGAAGCTGAAAACCTGGGAAACTTCACAGCTGTTGTAGGCTTCCACAACAATGGCGGCTGAGGTTGCAGCACTAAAGTTGTGAATGCTGGTTCATCTCTACTCAGACAGTTGGACATGTGTATGTATCTACACAAAATGCTGCTAATCACCGTTTTTAAACACAACACATTCAACTTGTATTTTGCTACTATAGGTAGGCCTGACTATAACAAGGCGGCTATGCTGTTTTTAGGGAAAGGGCTGATTAATCCCTTTTTTCCAATTGTGATTTAATTCTTCAATTTAGAGAGAGACCCGAGTTCCACAGCCATTGCCCTTCCTGTCTTCCAGACATAATTAGAGCATGTTTGAAACTTACACATTGTATCTGTGCACTAACAGTCAAGGTTAATGATAGATTGGTTGCAGTGAACTTAGACTAACAACTAGTCTCTGAAATGAACATATTTTACAGAAAAAAAGTTCATAGTAAAAAATTTAAAAATATAATGAAAAGGAGCCCTGAGACTTTCTTCATTTCAGAAGCTGAGGAAATCTAGACTTGCCACATTTTCTAGACTTGCGTGGGCTTTCTTGGATATATTTACTTCAGGGTCTGTACGACAGATTACAGTGAACTGTCCAACAGGTCTAAGCTTAGTGCACCGATTAGCTTCCAAGGCATGATGTGATATATATATATAACCAGGCTGATTTTCCTATTAGTAACACTGTTAGACACAGGCTTCTCTGGGTAGTGTATATTGTCTGACTGACAAGCTGTCATCAGATCCATGCTTGTTATTGTCTTGGGAGAAACACTGGAAACTATACAGCTGTATACATAAAGCCTACACTTTGTAAAGCTATTAATAAGCTTATATCATGTCTGGTGTAGGTTGAAAGTGCATTATCTATACGATATCATGCATGGATACAAATGTCACTGTTCCCAGTGTTCACTGTGAAAGGCTTGCAACTCCTTTCAACCTGATCACTAGATCCCCACACAACACACGCTGGTGACATCATGTACGCTATCTCCTTCACCAAGCTGTCAAAATATGTCAACTGAGGATCCAGTCAACAACCTTACACTACACCAATCAGGATAAACATCAGTAATTGACAACAATCTCCTCACAACAATATAAACAACATTAATCCATGCCTGCAGTCAGCAATACCTGGCAGGGTATCAAAATATTAACCCTATTTGGGCTCAGTTTGTTCTAGAAAAGACTAAGCGAGTAAAGTTCACATTGCTAAAGAAGAAGGCGAGTGGCTGAGTCAATATTGATAGATCTTAGTCATTCCTTCTCCTTGCCCCGTTAGCTAGGGTACTGGGGGCAATCACTTTCTTTCAGCTTGTTCAGGTATAGGGCAAAAAAGCCTTCACTAAGTATACCAGAGTGGGTTTGGATATTATACAGTCCATTGACACGGTGGGTTAACTGTGTATTGTGGGGTCAGTTGTTGACAGCAGTCAGCTTGCTGGAGCAAATAACATGGGTGTTTAATATAACAAGGTGAAAATAGGCCAATCTGGATTTCAACAGGTGGGAAACTAGATAAATCTTGAGATAATTTGTTGAAAAGGTTTGAGATATAATGCACTAGTTAAAGTATAAGGGAGCTGTCAGTGACCTCCACTGTGGCAGCTGTGGAGGTGTGGGCATGTTTGGTCTGTGTCTACATGCCATGATAATATTGCACATCTTTCAAAAGTGAGCTGTGCAAATAGAGGTCAATATTCTATGAGATTGATAGTCAGTGTGTATATTTATATTTAAGAATATAATTACAAACATGATGGATTTTCAGTGAGAAATGTTCGCTGCAGATCACTAATGATATGTAAATGTATTCTCCACTGAGTGACTGACAAGTACAATCTGTTGGATTAAGATCAATTTCAAGGGCCATCTTGTTGACATGATTCTTAGACTGGTTTGTCGTGGTTAATGATCAGTTTGTGAAAACCAAATCTGAAGCCATTCAATTAGCAAATTGAAAATGGCAAAGGGTAAGTTGATTAGCTGTTTCATATTATTTTGTCCTGTGTTAAGCAATATTATTTGAATAGCATTTTTAATTATCCAGAACACGATGTAATATCTAAAATACTTCACTCACTCCTGATCACTATCAATATACCACTCAAATCCATATAACAATGATATCAAGCACATACTTAGCTAAATTTTACCCAGGAGTTACACTCAGAATATCAATCAAAATGGCTGATGTTGGATTTTATTGACATTCCTGTCACTGACAGATCACGAGGAAAAAAAATACTCAAGTAAGAAATTCATATTCCATGATTTTTCCATGACCTTTATAACAATTTCCTATTTTCAAATACCACTCCAAGCCTGGAAAACTCAAATTCCTCGACATCTTCAAGATTTCAGACTTGTACAAAGCCTGCGCTAGAACCTGACGAATATATTTTAGGAAGATGCTCTGTTGAAAGTTTCTTTAATAATTAATGCTATCCGTATCAAAAACACATAAACATGATGAAGGTAACAGGGAATGCCCCTATCGCTGGGACACACAGTAATGGCCTAATAAAGAAGGACTACCGATCTTTCATGTATTTTTGACTCCTAACCAACAAGGTCTCTGTTGGAAATTGAAAGATAAGATTAAACTCCTCAGTGGATCCTTTAATTCAAAGAGAAGGAAATCATTTAACTCCCACAATACATTATTCTAAAATACACTTAATTGATTCATGGAATATCTGATTTAGCCACTTGCAATAAAATACACTATCAGCAGACCATAAGGCAGTTCCTAGCCCTTTGGAAAACATCCAACATTGCTTGTATCTAAGCCTCTTGAAGATTTTAGAGATCTCTGTTTTCTAAGCGAGCAAAGAGGAGGTATCATGTGGGTTATCAGGGGGGGAGTGGGATCTGGGCAAGTTTCACATTTATCAATGATAAAGAACCAGGAATAGAAAAGTGACTACCTGCCTCTCATCACAGATAATCTGTCTCCCTGGGGGTGACTAGGACACTCTAGTGGGAGATACCTGTGTATCTGCCACCTTAACAACGGCATAGAGGCAACTGTTACAGGAAGTTGGACAATGTAGAACACCATGGACAGGATATGGAAGATGGCCCACTCAGAGATCACTGTCATAGATCTGTTAGATTCATGAAAGCTTTGTCATACTGACTGATTTCAAAAACTACTCTCAGAATGAACATTTAATTGTCATTGCTGTTGTTTATATTTTTAACTGAAACCCATGTTTGATCACCTCAAGTATATAAGCTTTTGGTTCAGAGATGAAAAACAAGAAGCACAACTGTAGCCTGGCTGTAGCATCAAAACCAACTCTACTATCATATGTGTTGGCTTTGCAAATATCTATATTTGGGCTGTTATGATTCACATGCTGTGACACACATGCATGCACACATGCACTGCCTATTGAAAGCTCGAAGATCTCTTTTTCAAAAAGTTGCTTCTGGAGCTCAGATTGATAATGTCAATCCACTGAATCTGTTTCTCTAAATGACTGCAAGTTGAAACAAACTGGAACATAATGCCCTTGAGGGTTCGGATCAATAACTCGTATATTTGGGACCTGTGGGACCTCAGTAGGACCCGAGTACCAACTGCATGATCAGATCGTTTTATACACACATGTATGTTTTGCCACAGCTCTGTCAATACGGTACATTTTGCATGCTACTTTAGAGACCTATAGCTCTTTTTCCTAGAAGGGTTTTGTTGGATGGGGAGCTATGTAGAATTTTGACTGGTCGCAGTCCTAATGTCCTCAAACCCCTAGTATGCAAACAGAAAATCCTGTTCACAAAAAGTAAACCCCGTTTCAGTTCATCCCCACAAATTCACCTCCTCCAAAATATTCCCTTTGAACATGAACTTAGTGACTATGTGGTGACAGTGTTTGATACAATTGTTGGAACAAAGAAATACATAGATACTTACAGTTCAAGAACTAGTATGACCTCTGTCTTTGTTTCATACACATCATAGAGGCTGATAATGTTGCTGTGGTCCACCTCCTGAAGCAGATCAATCTCCTTCTGTATGTCCTCCATCTTGGCGCCTCGCCGTCCACCTCCACGCCGCTTCCGGATGAACTTGGCGGCATATTCCACGAGTGTCAGCCGATGGGAGCATTTCCTCACCACAGCAAAGTGACCACTGCAATGAAATAAACAGATCTGATCACCATATCTATGTGTACATGGCTGTCCTTTATTGAGAAAAATTGAATATACCTGGATGCTACCGGAGCGTTCTTCAAAAGCAAAATGACCATGAGTGAGTGAGTTTGGTTTTAGTCAGATTCGAAAAGACTATTTCATTAATATTGTGGTGTGTCAGCTAGACTCAGCTCAATGCTTGAGTGAGTGAGCGAGTGAGTGAGTTTAGCTTTATGCACCACTTAGCAATATTCCAGCTATATGGCAGCAGTCTATAAATAATCGAGTCTGTGACAATCCAATGATCAACAGCATGAGCATCGATCTACGCAACTGGGATGTGATGACATGTGCCAACCAAATCACCGAGCATGACCACTCGATCCCGTTAGTCGCCTCGTATAACAAACATGGGTTACTGTACATCAATTCTAACCCAGAACTTCACGGGTCCTCAATGCTTGAGGAATGTTATGCAACAATTAGTATTAGCCACTTTAATGAAATCCATGAGCACTGATCAGGTGGTATGGTGCTGAGCAAGCCTAAAGCAATCCTCAGTTTGTGGCATCCATTGGGTTTCCCATGGTGTACATTCAAGATGCACAGTTCATCAGGATGTGTGCGATCTTGCTCATTGTGGTATTAAACCACTTATGATAATAGGGAGAAAAATTTAAAGTAAACTTCGTAAAAGGTTTTGTGTTTTCAAGAACCCATCTGTACAATGACAAACATCCTCTTTCTGAGATTTGCAGGAGTCAAACACAAATTCATGCTCTAATTTGTTCACATTGTTAATAATAGATGGAGTTATTTGATCTAATTATTTTTCGCAGATGAAGCAGACACAAATGTCTTGACCATGTTTGACCACGACATAACATAATAAAGTTATTACAAAAAATACACTCTTAAGCTACAATGTTGAATTGTAATTAGTTAATTGCTGGAAGTATCTCGTCTAAACAGACCCTCATTCTCAGGGATCATGAAGCATGCTATTTCTGTCCCCCCAAATCCAGACCATATTAAACCTTCAGGGCCAGTACCTGATGTTGTATGCAGGGGCACGACTAAAGACAATCTGTAGCTCTATCAAATCACTGCAGACACTCAACATCTATCATGTCTAAGATGTGTTACTGGATGTCATGATAGTGACAGTACAATCAGCTTAGGGTTGATCTGGACCTCATCAAGCCAATAAAGAAGGAAATGTGGAGTCACCAGTGCTAAAGAAGAACACTTACTGGAGTAACTCTACCACTAGGACAATTAAATTTGTTTCTAGCTGTCATCACTGCTTTAACACACATATTATCACATACAATAGAACTGTAGAACTTAGATTACCTAGATCACTTAGAGCACTATAAAAATGTCTTACTAGATTTTACAGCTTGGCTTGCAGATAAATATGTGATACATATTACCCTTGTTGGTTTGAATGGTAATATTTTAGAACAATATTAAAACACTTGGTTGATTCCGCATATAAAAATGTTGGTCCTTACATCTTGTACTGTCATACAAAGTTCTTCACATCAGGCATCATAGTTAATGACATTTTGTATCAATTTGTTAAAATGAAAAATACCGTTGTTGAAAAGTGCTCTGTGAAATACCATTAATCTTGCAAAGAAAACTGAAAACAGCTGATGCTGTTATAGTTACTAAATAATCACATCTCGTGGACAAGGCAAACCAGTGGTTGAAAGCATGAGCATTGTCAGAGTAACCTTATTATCTTCCACATATAAACTCCTGAAACAAGCATAGGATACTGGAGACAGTAGCATTATTAACTCCACACCATCATCCCCATGGAGATGGTGTCAGGGTGAGGAAGACATCAGCTGGCTATCTGATGGAAGATATTTGGGTCAGTGAGACTGTCAATATGTGTAGGCCCTGAAATTAGGTTTCCGTTCAGTCAAGGTAATCGAAGCAGTTCAGTAGAACCGGGGCTTTGCTAGCACATTACAGGCTTTTATTAAGCAGTTGAAATACACAAGGGGTTTCACAGAAGATGGGATTTGCTTATTTAAGACTTTTAGTTGACATTCAGGGTGATTATAGACTGGAATCTCCGATAGGAACTGGTGGAAGACTGACTGACATTTGATCATTAACAGACTGAAATAGGTTCTGTCATTGGTAGTCATGTCAGCATTAATTTTGCATAATCTCTAGTCCCCATTATCAAATGTCCCTGAGTCCTTATAATGATTACTAAGTGCAAAACCCTTGGAAATGGCAATTTCTACAAGCCCTTATGGTACCTACAGGGCAGTTTGGCAAGGACTTTAGGAAGAGTGCCAATTTCTATTGCTGTGATGTTAGATGCAGTATTGCACAATTTCATCTCTTGAGGATTCTGAGACTATAACTTCAACATAGGGATTTTCTCTAATCCAACAGTAAGCTCCAAGATACAGTATGTGGAGTTACTTTTTATACCAAACCATCTGTGGCAAACATGACACAACTACATCTCAGAATATTTACACATTTTGTGTTCAGAAGGCAAACTTTCAAATTCTTTAAAACTAAAGTTGGGTTTAAGAGGTATGACAGGCATAATATAATTGATGACACTGTGTGTCATCACTCTCAGACTCAAACTTTAACCATATCCGGCATGGCTCTGACTCGGAGATGTAAGTGATAACCCTCCAAGACTATTTGGCTTTGGATCCATTGCCTGAAGCCATGGTGTCTTCAGTCAGGCTGTCTGGTCAGGAACCTGTTTCAGAGGTAATCCTGGACAAACTTAGTTCCAGTCACTGTGGTGGCGCAGTGCTTTTATCACAGACTTACACTGTAAGCTGATCCACAAGGCCAGACATCCACACACCAGATACACCATTACAGTAAGTAAACATTTCCCTCCAAAAACAGAATGGCATGCAAGTCATAGCATCCTGGGATACAGACACCCGATGACTGTTTTGATCTGCAAAAAGGACCAAGATACAGTGATCTGGGTTTAAACAACAAAGTGAGCTACTTAGCACATGGTTAAATGATTCATATCTAGCTCATCATAACTGTCTCCTCCCAGTTTATGAGTATCCAGTATTGCTATGAAGCTTGACATGCTGTTGTAGTGCCAAGTATAACAGCATCTCCATACTAAAGTGTTCCTTATGCCAATACTTGTATGACATTGCATAGTTTTATACTGATGATTTAACCAACAGATTCTTCCAACCCATAATCTTGACATCTAGGGGAGATACATTTTGTAGGAACAGGTCCTTGTCAGCTTATGTCTGATAACAGAAAACCACTTACACTTCTACTTATTTAAAGAAGAGATTTGTCCCATATAATTCACCTAATCTTATCAACACTTGGTTTTAAATGCACAGATAAGGCAGTTTAGCTAGACATTCTTTCATTGTTGAAATTACTCATAGTCATGCAGAAGAAACTGAAGTTTTAATATTTTCATTTTTGATAATATATGCATTATTTCATGAGTTAAAAAAACAGATTCCAATGAAAAAAGCTAGCTCGTGGTTATCATACAAGTGCATACTCAATAGTTAACTAGGGCAAAAATATGTCTATGCAGCAATCCTTCCCTCTGCGTCTAGGGCTGGGACGATACACTATGTCACGATACAATACATATCACGATATTTTACCTGTGATACGATACGTATTCACGATACATACACCTTGAAAGAATGACACAGTATTAAGATTTAAAATGATTTATTTCAAGGTATTTGTGTATAACAATAACATTATTGTAATAAACAAACAAGCAGCTCTATATACTTGCATATTTTTCTAAATATGTACTTTATCATGATTAAGATAACACTGTTTGTAAAAAAAGTCTTGTATCATTTTGTATCGATACACCAGTCGACGATACGATAGCTGTATCAAACTTTAATGTATCGCGATGTATCAGTGCATCGGTGAATTGTCCCAGCCCTAACTGCATCAGTAGAATTTATTGTCAGCCCGTAGGTGAGAATGGAGGTAATTCCCAGAAGCGGCCCCTATGCTGTGTTTAATGCAGGTATGTTTGCAACATCATCCCTCCCGCAGTGTCCCTGGAGGTCTAAAGCCACAGATGTTATTAATGCTAGGGGCTTACTGTAAGACTTACACAGATGCCTATAACATATGAAGCTAAGTGTGTACAACCCACACAAGGGAAATAGATCGGTATCTCAGAAAGACAGGACATGTGGCACTGTATGACAAGGACACAGCCTACATAAGTAGACTGCAGATCTCTCCTACTCTATGTTTTGCTAATTACATACCCACTGTGATGATGCAGTTGGTGAAAGCGTGTTTATTTTTGCATCACATCTAGCACTATTTGATCTATATCACCTATTTGAGCCAAAATCTTGAAAAATTGCATATCAAACTATTTGTAAAAACAAGCTGGCATACCAAAACTATCCAGTATATAATATGCAATACTTGACATCATAAAGCTTGTTGCATTGGTCACAATACAAGCATCAGCTCCCCTCCAGCTTATAACATATTCCAGGAACCACTGGATCACATCTCTACACAACAAGCCTCATCAGAGTTTTCTCAGGGCTGTATACCTTCATCAGACAAGAAGGAATCCATGACACTGATCTGAACCCAGGTACACACAGAGATCGAGGAACCATTTCTCCACAGCTTGTTGTGTGTGAAATAAAGGTGTGTATGTATCACACAGTGAATGCCAACAGGTGTGACATTGTGGCCAGTCAGTACAACATGCCACCAATGAAGCATGAGCACTGCAAACATGAACCACCAACAGGTTAACTCCAGATCTGTCTCCAACAGTGATTCTGTATGTTTTCTCAGGGACCTAACGTGGACTGCTCTCAACACCACCTTGAGGCAAATGTCTTACATGCTCAGTAGGCATTCATCAGTAGCTCTATACACAAACATATGCAGAAATAGAAAATAATTTCTAAATACACTTAGTTTCAAGCTCCATTTGAAATGTTTAGCAATCAAACCCTCTCATTCTTATCACAGAGAGG